TTAGGCAGTTTAAGCACAGGCGACGATAACCATAACGATAACCATAGGCAGCCTAATCTCGTTAGTGCGCACGCGTCATAGGAGATTCCCCTTCCGTTATCGTTTTCACTCATCGTTCTAGTACGATAGAAATCAGATCTATCGTTCTCTGACAACGATAGGGTTGTATGTTGAATTGCTTTGCATTTTTTGCGGATTTTTAACTGGAAATGGCTTCCTCATCATCAAACAAAAAATCTAATGGGTAAGTTGTGAGTTTCTTACTGTTTTAAACAATTTGTAGTTTTTTTTCATGATGAAAACAGGCCTGCAAATTTGTTGAATGTTGTAAGATCCATGTCCGTAGTTTGAAGCTACAGGATTTTACTGAAATGCTACTGATTTCAGTAGTGAAAGTCAAGAACTTGCCTGATTAATGTTTTTTTGCTAAAGTAATTCTTTTAGCTTTGCCTGCAGTAATCACCGTGTATTTTTTCTGAGGGTATTGTTTAATAGGCCAACCGCACCAACAGTTAAAATTAACATCAAGTTGAATTAACAAGATTCCCTGAAAACTTTAGGGTTAACACTGAAAATTTTATTACCTGTTTTTAAAATTGTTTTTAAGGAAACGATTTAAGTGGACAAGTGCCCATGATGAGCTTTTACTACGAGAAGTATTAAATTCGGAAATTTGGTTGACGAGGGCTGGCAGTGCAGAGAGAGGGGATAAATGGAAGAAAATTGCAGATACATTAAACTTAATAGAATGTCCTGTGTTTGGAACAAACCAGAGGTCCACTAGAGAGCGGTTTCAATTTCTCTTCGAGAAGAGGAAATCAAAAAATAGAGAGGAAGAAAGGGCCAGCGGTATATCACCTGATATTACTGATATTGACAAACTTTTGGATGAGCTTATTGAACTTTTTGAGACAGCCAATTTAGAGCAAGTAAATTCAGCAAAAGAGAAAGCTAATAAGGTGGCTTTAGATGCCGAGAAAGGGTTGGAGATGCGAAGACTGTCGATGGAGAGTATGGGAGAGTCAGCAAAGAGAAAATCAAGTGACGATGGAAAGGGAAAGGAGAAAAGGGCGAGGAGAACTGCAAGTGACACATTCGAGTTTTTGAACGAAAAAATAAAAATTGATATTGAATGGAAAAAAAAGGAGTTTGAGTTGAACGAGCGTACATTGGAGGAGAAAGAGAAGAAGAGAGAGTATGCGGAGAAAGAGAGGTCCTGGCAGCGAGAAAGGGAGGAGAAGCGTCTGACAGCCATCGAAAATCAGTTGGAAAGGCAAAATGAGATGTTGGCGCAAATTAACGTACAGTTGCAGCATCAGAACAGTTTAATTATGACACTGATGCAGCATTTTAATGCTACACAATAATTTTAGAATTAATTTTTTTATTTTCACCCGCATTTTCATATATAGTCATATGTAAGAATCATATTATAAAATTTTCTCTTGCTCCAACTTTTGTCTATAGTTATCTGTTTATCTACTTTTACATACTGATAAGTGAATCTACAAATCTCTTATTACATTGTTCTCCTTGCAAATCAATGTTCCTTTATTGTTGTCATAGGCAAAAGGGTTTTAAATTTTCACTTTTATTTAATAGGTGCATTTGAATCACATTCATAAGAAATAGTCACAAATATAATAATAGTAATGCGAAGATTGTTGTCAACTTTGTGATACCCCTCTACTCTCCTCAAAAATCACATCAACTCTTTGGTGCCCCCCCCCCCCTGGTAAGTGTATATGTCAATCGTGAGCACCCTCAAAAGCAAAGAGATTATAAGAGAGTACAAACTCTGTTAGAAGTAACTTTTTTATTGCAATTGTTTTTATTTGATTCATGGATGCTGAAAATAATTTACAATATTTGGTGGTTCAAGCTGAAAAAATTCTGACGTAGTACTACCGTAAAGTCTAAAAACTTAAAATAGTTTATTATGTCCCCAAACAACCATTCCACGCTGACTCTGACTGCACTCATCCGTTGATTCCACAGGTGCTGCCTTTCTCTCAGATCTGCATTTCTGAATGGGGCTTGAAGATGTGGCCTAAGGGGGTATGCAGGGTCTCCATAAATGCACATAATATCACCATTTGGAGAAACAGAATGCTGCTCGAGTAATTGCACAAGGCCAGATTCTCGTAGCATTCCACTGGCGTGCCTTCTTTCTTCAAATGGACCATGTAGAAAAGCAACAAGACCGTCTGGAGAAGCGACAGATTGGAATTTAATTGTGTGGACTCTTTTATGTCCATTATAAAGGACTCTCTGGTTAATGCCAGGTCTGGAGATTGGTCTGACAGTTCCATCAATTAATCCCCAGCAGTTTCTTAAAGGTGCTCCTTTTTCGTGCACTGCATCTGCGTATCTTTGAAGATTCACTGGCGATAGTGTTTCTCTCTCGAAAGAATTCAATAAAAAACCCCACTGCTCATAAAACATTTGCATCAAAGTATTAAAAATCACGCAGATTTTAGGTACTGGCCTAGCAAATCTTGGGATCATATCCATATATATACATGGATAGGCAAAACGTTTCAATAATATGCAGATAGCTTCCGTAGTGTCAACTCTAATTCTGTTGTATGTTACTATCTCTTCTGGGAAATGAAAAATTTCTTGTAAATTAAAATTGTCTCTTTTCTCAAATCAGAACTCGCCTCTACACTCGTCATTTGTCATTTCATCAAGGTCAAATTTTTCGTACTGCCAGTATGGAATCTCCAGATTAGGCTTAGGCCTATTCTCAAATTCTAAAAAAGCCAGTTCTTCGTCATCACATTTAAGTTATGAGCGATTGCCAGAGCGTCGTTAATATTGTTCAGCCATATTTTATTTAACTCTAGAAGGGGATTTTTTCGAGGCTTTCAAAACATATCTCATGTCGTAAACAAGGAAGTGTGTCATTCTCACAAAATCCTTCTATTGGGTCAGGTCGCCGCTCCCTACCGTTGTTTGTGCTTAATTTTGTTTTACCACAACGATAACGGAAATGATGACAGTAGGTTCTATCGTTATCGGTATCGTTATCATCGCGTGTGCTCAAACTCTCTGTTGTTGGGCCTAAAGCAAATTGGTCTAGGCCCACACGATTGATTGTTTATCCAACGTTGAATAACTTCTATAGGCAAGCAAGTCTTTTCATTTAAGTATTGTTAAAAAAGATCTGTACTGTCAGTGTTCTGAAATTGTGGCCGATAGATAGCCAGTGTGAAAAGCTTATTTGGCCACGACCGACAAAAAAGTCGCCAGGTGTCCACCAGGTGTTTGCCAGGTGCTCGCCGGGTGCTTGCAATCCTTACAGCCTAAACATGACATATCATATTGCGCACCAGATGAATAGTACAAGCAAATGCTTCACAAAGATTCTACATGAGCTAGGCAGTGAACATAAAGAGCTTTGGGATGATCTTTCTAAATTAAGGTAGCAGCTCCACTGCACTTTCTAGCCATATTACCGGCGCTGTCTTAGCCCTGTCCTCTGCAGAGATCCATATCCAAGCCTAAGAAGTTGACTTTGTGTAAAATCTGATCTGCCACTGCCCTACCAGTCAAACCTTTGTTACACTGGACAAATCCAAGAAACTTTTCCCAGATGACAGAAGCCTCCTCAACAAAGCGAATAACAAAGGCCATTTGGTCCTTACTACTGACGTCAGCTGGCTTGTCATCTAGGACAAAAAAAATTGACATTTTTGACATCACAAACCAATTTCTCGGTCAGAATATTGCCACAAATTTTTATGATAGAGTTTTGTGTGGTTTTTTTACCTGTAGGTCGCTGATTTTGGTGCATTCTCGAAGTGATCTTAAAAGATGAAGGTAACTAAGGATGGCCTGCAGGTTCCTGGGTTGTTTCCGGCTTCAAAGTAATACTTCAAATCACCCCAATGAATGCGGAGGGACATATTATTTCCTCGGCATAAAATGATCCCTTCACTGATTGGTATCAGCTTTTGTCTCTTTTTTTGTACCTGCTTTGAGACACTAGTGTCATATGGCAAGCAAAGAGACTTTGCAAACCGAATGATATTTTGGGAAAACAGTAATTGAATTACCACAATAGAGCTCCTAATTTTGCAAAGACATAAAGGTTTTAATTAAATTCACAAAATTTAAGCATATATGCACTCTTATTGACTGCTAACCATCTACTACGTTTTCTTTCTGTTTGGATAGCATACATAGTTGCAGAGAGTCTTTCAACACATCTTCCTTAACTTAATGCCCCCTAATGTAAATCCAGGGAAAACATGTTATGTAAATTAGTCTTGTGTCAATTTGAGGACAAAAGCGGCAATTTTACTACTAGATAAAAAAAAATTTCTGAAGTGGTTTGAAAACACAAACATTGAATGGTCTGGATACCTCCTACAACTCTTGCTGGGTGGTGATATTATTTTTCTTTGATGATCTATATTAATGCACATAAAACTTTAGCAGCTGCTGCTCAACTAATTTTGACAACACAATTAAATCCTTGTTCTCGTATTCAATTCCAACAAAAAATATTCCATGGCATGAAAATCTTGATAATAAATTATCTCAAGCATACACATGAAATTTATGGTTTATTAGTCTGTCATGTAGTGCTAAA